CCAAAACTAATGAACCAATAAAGAAATGGGCAAGTGAACTAAACAGAACTTTCTCAAAAGAAGAAATTCAAATGGCCAAAAAACACATGAAAAAATGCTCACCATCTCTAGCAATAAAGGAAATGCAAATTAAAACCACACTAAGATTCCACCTCACCCCTGTTAGAATAGCCATCATTAGCAACACCACCAACAACAGGTGTTGGCGAGGATGCGGGGAAAAAGGAACCCTCTTACACTGTTGGTGGGAATGTAAATAGTACAACCACTCTGGAAAAAAATTTGGAGGCTACTTAAAAAGCTAAACATTGATCTACCATTTGATCCAGCAATACCACTCTTGGGATATACCCAAAAGACTGTGACACAGGTTACTCCAGAGGCACCTGCACACCCATGTTTATTGCGGCACTATTCACAATAGCCAAGTTATGGAAACAGCCAAGATGCCCCACCACTGACGAATGGATTAAGAAAATGTGGTATTATACACAATGGAATTTTATGCAGCCATGAAAAGAACAAATGTTATCATTCGCTGGTAAATGGATGGAATTGGAGAACATCATTCTGAGTGAGGTTAGCCTGGCCCAAAAGACCAAAAATCATGTTCTCCCTCATATGTGGACATTAGATCAAGGGCAAACACAACAAGGGGATTGGACTTTGAGCACATGATAAAAGCGAGAGCACACAAGGGAGGGGTGAGGATAGGTAAGACACCTAAAAAATTAGCTAGCATTTGTTGCCCTCAATGCAGAGAAACTAAAGCAGATACCTTAAAAGCAACTGAGGCCAATAGGAGAAGGGGACCAGGAACTAGAGAAAAGGTTAGATCAAAAAGAATTAACCTAGAAGGTAACACACATGCACAGGAAATTAATGTGAGTCAACTCCCTGTTTAGCTATCCTTATCTCAACTAGCAAAAACCCTTGTTCCTTCCTATTATTGCTTATACTCTCTCTTCAACAAAATTAGAGATAAGGGCAAAATAGTTTATTCTGGGTATTGAGGGGGTGAGGGGGAAGGGGTGGGGTGGGTGGTAAGGGAGGGTGGGGGCAGGGGGGAAAAATGACCCAAGCATTGTATGCACATATGAATAATAAAACAATAAAAATTTAAAAATAAATAAAATCGATGGACAAGTAAAGACCTTCCATGATAAGCATAAAACAATTAATGATCACTAAGCCAACATTGCAGAAGATACTTAAAGGAATATTACACATAGAAGAAGAAAGATATGGGAACTTTGGAAACCAATCTCACTAGAAGAGATAAACAACTCAGTAAACCTGCAAATCTCTAATGTGAAGATGGGAAAAGCCAGTATATTCCTCTCAATAATAACACTAAATATGAATAGTTTTAATGATGCAATTAACAGATCGTACTGGCTGAATGGATTGAAAAACAAGATTCACTTCACTGACAAAGACACACACTAAAAGTGAAAGGGTAAAAAGTAATGTGCCACGCAAATAAAATATGAAGTAAAGAAGAGCCAAAGCGAAAATTAGTCCAAAGGGATAAAGAAGGTAATGATATGTTAATAAAGGGAACAATCCATCAAAAACATATAACAGTTGTAAACATAAGCACTGAACATTGATGCACCCAATTTTGTGAAACAAACAGTATTAAACAAAGAGACAGTAGATCCAAATACAATAATAGTGGGTTACTTCAGTACCCCACTGTTATCAATACATAGATCATCCAGAACCTCCCCCAAAAAATCAACAATGAACCTTCAAAGTTAAGTTCTGTACCATATATCAGATAATTTACCTAATAGCTATAGAATATTCCATCCAACTACTTTGGAATATACCTTGTTCACAGCAGCTCATGGATTTGCTTTACACCATAAACATTTTCATTCTGGGGATATAAGGATGGTTCAATATATTTCCAAATCAGTAATCATAATACAGCACATAAATAGAATGAAGTACAAAAAAAATCACATGATCATCTCAATAAATGCAGAAAAGTCATCTAACAAAATTCAACATGCCTTCATAATAAAGCCCTGAAGAAACTAGGAGAAGGGACATACCTCAACATAATAAGTCCATATACAACAAACATGTAGCCAACATTGTACTAAATGGGAAAAAAACTAAAGCTCTTCCTCTAAAATCAGGAATGTGGAAAGAACATCCGCTCCATTCCATGCATATTCAATTTGATACTTGAATTCATAGCCAGAGCAATAAGCAAGAGAAAAAAACAAAAAGGAGCCGAGAACTGGTGGCTTACCTGTAATCCTATCCACTAGGAGGCAGAGATCATGAGGATCATGGTTCAAAGCCAGTCTGGGCAAATAGTTGGCAAGACCCTGTCTCAAAAAACTCCATCACAATAAAGGGCTGGTGGAGTGGCTGAGTTCAAATCCCAGTATGCAAAAAAAAAAAAAAGAAAAGAAAAGAAAAAGAAACAAGAGAGGAAAGGAAGAAGTCAAATTATCCTTAAAGAGTCCACAAGAAAAGTTCTTTAGATCTGATAAACACTTTCTGGAAAGTAGGAGGATACAATGTCAACATACAAAAAATCAGTAGTTTTTTTCTTTTTTGAAAACACAGGGTCTCACTGTATAGTTCAGGGTGACTTCAAACTTGTGATTCTCCTGCCTTGGCCTCCCAAGTTCTGGAATTACAGGCATATATATACACCATGCCTAGCAGTAGCTTTTCCATATGCCAATAAATGCAGGAAAACAATCCTAGTCACAATAGACTGAAAAAAAAAAGTGCCTAGAAATAAACCTAACCAAGGAGGTGAAAGACATCTACAGTACTGTAAAACACTGAAGAAAACAATTGAAGAAGACACTGGAAGATGGAAAGGTCTCCCATGTTCATGGATTGTCAGAAGTGATGTTATGAAAAAGGCTATCTATGTTAGCAAAAGCAGTCTATAGATTGAATATGTCTCACATCTAAAATTGATGTGGAAGCACATAAGACCCTGAATAGCCAAAGCAATCCTGAGCAAAAAAGAGCAATGCTGTAGATATCACAATACTTGATATCAAAGTATACTACAAAGCCATCATAATACAAACAGCATAGTACTGGCACAAAAACAGACACATAGATCAGTGGAACAGAATAAAGGACCCAGGAATAAGCCAATGCAGCTCCAGCCACCTGATTATCAACAAAGGTGTCAAAAACATACATTGGGGAATAGATCCTCTTCAACACATGGTGTTAGGAAAACTGGATATCCATGTGTAGAAAACTGAAAATAAACCCTATCTCTTGCTCTGAACAGAAATCAATTCAAAGTGGATCAAATATGTTAACATAAGATCTGAATCTTTGACACTACTATGGGAAAACCCTTCAAGATGCAGGCATGGACAGCAGCTTTCTAAATAAGATTACAGTAGCTCAAGAAATAACAGCAAGAGTCAACAAATGAGATTGCATCGAAATTAAAACACTTCTGCATGCCAAAGGAAATAACTAACAGCGTGAAGAGACAGCCTACAGAATGAGAGAAACTCTTTCCAGATATTCATCTCATGGGATCAATACACACAACCCCTAAAATACTCCAATCAATAAATGTGCAATTGGAGTGAACAAGTAGTTGTCAAAAGAAGTACAAATGGCAGGTGACTACATGGAGAAATCCTCAACACCCTTAACCATCAAGGAAATGAAGATCAAAACTACCCTGAGATTCCATCTTATTCCATGCAGAATGGCTGTCATCAAGAAACAACAAATGCTGGTGAGGATGTGGTGGGCAGGGGATGGAACCCCTATACATTATTGGTAGATATGTAAGTTAGGCCCCCCCCCTATGGAAATTGCAGCACTATTCATAACAGCCAAGCTATGGAATCAGGCTAGGTACCCATCAACTGATGAATAGATGAATTCAGAAAATGTGGCATACCTATGCAGTGGACTCTATTCAGCCGTGAAGAACTAGAACTGGAAATCATTGTGTTACACAAAATAAGCCAGTACCAGAAAGGCAAACGTCACATGTCTTCTCTCATATAGGAACCTACATTAAAGAAAAAAAAAAAACGTGAAAGCAGAAGAACTGTTTGGGAAGAGGAAGGAGATCAGTGTGGGATGGGGGAAACAAAGGACGGCAATTGGGAGGGGTCGATATGATCAAAGCTGATTTATACATATATGATCCATTTTGCAATTAATATATAGTTGAAGCCTCAAAGTTAGGATATATTGGGGATTGTTTCCTTTTTCTCTTTTTGGTGCTTGGTCCTTGGAGTGTAGCTAATAGAGCCACACCCCCAGGCTGAGGATTATTTTTCTAAAAACATCCTTCTCACTTTTGCACTCTGATATATTTCTTCCTTTCTTTTTTCCTTTTTTTTTTTTTTTTAGGAGGGGAGGAGGAATAGGTAGAGGCACAGTTACTATGTAGCCCAGCCTCCTGAGGTGCTGGAATTACAGGCATGTGGTATCAAGCCAGGGTGATACGCTTTTTCTTAAGGGAGGGAGATGTGTAGAATGCTGAGCACCTCACTTAGAACTTTCTTTTGCATGTCCTAACATAATGTAAATACTAGGTATTAGAGCGTTGTTGCTCTTACTAGAATATTGATTCAAATCTCTAAGCTCTGGACACTTTCAAAGCAGATTTTTTGTGGATTTTTTCCCTTGTGGTGGTGCTCGAAATGGAACCCAGCATCTTGTGTGTACTAGGCAAGCACTCATCCCTCAAAACAGAATTTTTAAATCACTACTTTTCTGGAAGCGTAATGTGGAAAGCATTCTAGTGTTTCTTGTAGTCCAGAAACATGTTCAGTCAGGAGATGCCGAATTAATACTGCAAGCTTCAAAGTGAGTATCAAATTATTGAGTTTCATTCTTTTTTCTGTGTTTGCTTCTATAATGGGATATTGATCAGTAAAATGGTGCTAACATTTATTAAATTCAAGACGTTCCAAATTGTCAGCACAGTGCTATTGGATCTGTAGCCGCAGTGACTTTTCATATCTTTTTAGGCCAAGACACATGTTCTTGACATCGAGCAGAGACTGCAAGGTGTGATCAAGAACCGGAACAGAGTGACTGGGCTGCCACTGTCTATCGAAGGCCATGTGCATTACCTCATCCAGGAAGCTACTGATGAGAACTTATTATGTCAGATGTACCTTGGTTGGACCCCATATATGTGAAGTGAAATTATTTCAAAGAATATGTTAATAATCTGAAATTAATGCCCTCGTTATTAACGAGTGCTGTATCTTCAGTTCAAAAGTACAACCCAAGTTTATTCTTGTTCTCAGGGCAACTGGTCGTATTTCTGATTGTTAACAACATTTAAAACAATATATGTACAGTAATTAACTAAAACTTCACTCTTCATACATACGTGTTTTAACTGGAGAGAGGTAACATCATTCATGTGTTCTTGTTTATTTATTTACTTTTGGTGGTACTGGGATTTGAATTGAGGAACTCAGCTTGCGGGGCAGGCGCGCTACCCCTTGAACCACTCCGCCAGCCCAGCGTCGCGTGTTGCGAATGTATTTGTTTCATTTTGACCTGGGCCCCATCCTGGCGGGCCCTGTGCCGGGGGTGCCCTCTAGGAACGGACGGACCGTGCAGAAGACATGCGAAAGCAGCCGTGGAGTTCACCGCGCAGAACGCGTTGTGCTGTGCGTGCCAGTGCTGTGGGGGAGGGGAAGCCGGCAAACCGGAACCTGAAGCCGCGCAAGCACCTGAGCGGGTAAAGCGTGCGTGTCCCGTGTCAGAGACGGGTGGCTTCAAATTCCGTGAGACCTTAGAATCTGAAAATGTTCTTGGGGTTTTTTCTGTAAGTTTTTTACAAAGATTGAAAATATCTACAACGTAATGCATTTGTTACATTCAAAATATGTAGAAAGTCCTTACATTTAGATCAGATCGTTTCACGTAATAGAAGGCTGCTTTTTTGTATGGGCAAAACGTGAGGCAGGAAACATGAATGTGAAAACTAAGCATAATTTCCTCTCCAGGACCTGATGTTAACTGCTAAGGGCGGGCTCGTTATTTCTTAGCGCTTTGGAAAATAACGTTTTTCAAAGCAACTTTATTTTTAGAAGTGGGCTTAACTCCTCAAAGAAAATAACTCGCAAAATGAAAGCGATCGTCAGGCCTTTTCCAAGTGTGTGTTGAAAACCCTGAGGTTGGCAATGCCAGGAGGGCCGGGCTTTGCGTGAGGCGCGCAGGTGCGCCTGTCATCCTGAGACCCGAGGGGGGCGCTCCAGCCCCGCCCCCGGCGCCAGCCCCGCCCTCGGCGCGCGCCAAGCCCGCCGCTCTAGGCCGCCGGCGCTCTCTATGGTCCGCCGGGCGGTGTGTTGTCATCGGCGGAGCGACGGCCGGAGGCGGCGGCGCAGGCCCCGGCGGGGCGTTTGGTTTCGGTTTAGTCCTGACTGGAAGTAGTGTTGACGGTGGAAATGGGAGTCCCCAAGTTTTACCGATGGATCTCGGAGCGGTATCCTTGCCTCAGCGAAGTGGTGAAAGAGCATCAGGTGCGTGAGCGCGGGCCGGCGCCTCTGAAGGCCGGGACCCGAGGACCCGGGGACCAGGGCTTCCCCGCGTCGTCCGCCCGGCGAGGGGCGCCGGGAGGGGGCGGAGGTTCGAGGACCCCGGGCCGAGGCTGACATTCTCGGGGCTCAGCCGGCCCGGGCCCCTGGGTGCGCGTAAACGGACGCCGCTCCCCGCCCCCACCGGCCGCGTCCGGGGCTGGGGGCGGACACCGTGCTGCCGCGGTGCTCGCGGCCGGCTGGCCCACCGCCGCGCGTGGCGGCCCACGAGCGAGCGCAGGTGTACTGGACTGGGCGAGGGAGCAGAGAAGGCGGACGCCCTGTCCGGGGCATCTGGTGGAGCTCTGGTCACTTTCGGGTTTGACAGCAAAAAATCACTTTCGAAATGCCTGTTGGCAACATTGTATTAATAGCGGGCGCTGTCAATTACATTAGGGCCTAACTGGGGGTTTGGAAGGTACTGAAAGTCTGGAACAGATTCTTTTTAAAGGTGTTGCATTCCGATCTAATGAGAACAAGCTTACACAAAGTTCCAGAGTGCTGGCTTGTTTTTCATTTATTTAAAACACGGGTTGACTTAGATTTATTTCTGGAAGGGAGGGTACATCGCCTTGAGGAAATGGAGACAGCTAACTATGGCTTCTCCTGCAAGTCAACAGTTATTTGACTATCGGTCACTTTATCTCTAAAGTGAAAAGCACTGTGACTTGGGAACACATAATTTGTTCACTGATGTTCTTAATTCTGTACTATTTGGCACAGAGTTTGGTTTAGTCTTGGATTCTCTCTATCCTGAGGAATTTTGTTACTGAAATACAAAAGCAATTCCTTGAAGGCAGTTTTATGACATAGACACTGAGAACAGGTTGCATGAAAGCGTTACATAGAAAGTGGGAGTAAGGATCGTTTGAAAATCCCACTGTACTTAAATCTTAAAATTTGGTGCATCAAAGTAATGTCTTCCACAAATGTTTGATTGACATTAGACAAGCTAATCGCTCAAGATGGCAATGTCTGAAGAACCCCATTGGTCCAAAAGCTGGTTCTAGCAGACAAGGACTGGGAGAGGAGCTGGTTCCTGGGAAGATGCTGGTGATAGTGGCAAGTAGCATGGTTTTTCAGTCTCTCTGTCCTCTAGCAGTAACAGAAAGAGAGCTAGACAGCCTAACATAAAATTAGTAAGACAAGCACAACAAACAGTGGCACTCTGAGGGCAAAGTACTGCCAATGAGGACAGACTAGCAGTAACTGGTAGGCTCACTGGTATTGACATCTGCCCTAGAGGAAGGAAGCAATGGGGAACAGGAGAACTCCTGAGTAACCAACAGGCTCACTGAAAGACCTAGAAAGCAGTAGCTGAAACCCAGGGTGGGGTGTTTTCTCCAGGACTGACTGAGTGAAGTGTAACATAAAAAAGGCCAAAGGGGCAGGAGGAGTATATCCCTGATAAACCCTCAAAACTGACTTGCCAAGTGTCATTCCAGGGTAGAGCCCATCCTAAGGAGAGACTGCTGGGAGTGGAATAAATGTTGTCACAGAAGGGGAAATAGAGACAAGGAAAGGGTCCAGAAAAAAATTAGGGAGAGCTGTTTTTAAAGAAGTCTTTTAAAGCCACCATGTTTTAAAATGCTATCCAAAAATAGAAGAGGAGGGAGCTTTGTGAAGTTAAAGCTTTCCCAAACCCTGACTTACTCTAATGCTCAACTAAATTCACATAAAAATGAGCAACAGAAAAGTCCCAAAGTCAAATGCATATGATGTTATTATAGAGGGAAAGGGAAGAACATCCCTACAGACATTAAAATCTTGTAGTAAAAGCCTGTCTACAAGCATAATAAAATTATGCTAAAGTACACTAAGAAAATGATGTCAATATGAAAGACCACATGTATCAATTATGAAAACTCAGGAATAAGGTAACAGAACCTAGAGAAAATTAGAAAGGAATGAAAAAATTTTGTTTCACAAATAAAACCTTATACAGAAACAATGCAAGAGCAAATGATGTTGTAAGAGAAAAAAAGAGAGATGGAAAGAAGAGCAAATTTCAAAATAGGAAGGCTAAAATGGATTCAAGAGGACTGGGGATGTAGCCCAGTCCGAAAGCAGTACCTAGCATTCGTGAGGCCAGCACCAGAGAGAGAAACAGGAAAGATAGGCAAAGAAGACAAAGAATAGGGATTCCTGCAAATGAAAAGGCCACACTTGTTGGTGCATGTCTGAGATCCCAGCTTCTGGAAAAGTGGAGATCTGGAGGATAGTTCAAGGCCAGCTGAGTACAAAGTTAGTGAGACCCTCTGGGTGGCGGTGGTGGCGCATACCTCAAAGCGTAAGTAGAAGGATCAAGGATCACAGTCCAACACCATCCCAGACAAAAAGCGAGACTCTTAGCTGAAAACTAGCTAAAGCAAAGATGGGCCAGAGGCAGCAAGCACGAGGCCCTGAGTTCAAACTCCAGTCCCACCAAACAATAAAAGTTAAAAAGCAACACAACAAATAGTAAAAGTATTATTAAAACGTTACTGAGTATTTTTAAGTTGAAACAGTATATTAAAAGAATACATGCTGTACCTGGGAATACTGATTTAAGTGATCAGTGCCAAGACATACAGTCTAGTAAAATTCCTGGACTTCATTTGAGAGTCACCAAATGGGAAACAACATGTTTGCCCCTGATAGTATCCCCTCAGAACTAAAAGAGAAAAACAACAAAATGAGGAGAGTTTTATAAACCTGAAACTTTTCTTCTACCCAGATTGTTCCATTTCTCTGGAGATATTAGTTCCTAACTTGGTTTTAGAATCAGTTTCACCGCCACTGAGGAGGTATAGATCTAGACACACACAGCAATTTGGGCCCCATTGAGGGAATATTGTACTGTTTGTAATGTGTACTCTGTTAGAGTCTTCACTTTAAAAAAAATTGTGATAAAATATAAATAGCAAAATTTACCTCCTTAACCATTTTTAAGTGTATGCTTCAGCAGTATCAAGTATATTAACGTTGTGGTTGGCCCACACTTGAAAAACTAATCTATGCATTTTTGCTGAAAAATGCATCTTGAACCTGAATCTTCAAAACCAAAGGAACACCAGTTAGCATTTCCATTTTCAAGTATTTGCTGTTATGTAGGAAGCTTATCTATCTTATTTTTATTATACTCACTGAATTACCATATTTTCCTGGCCCTAGCGTGATGTGTGGCACAAAATGGGTATTCAGTAAATATTTGCTGAGTGAATTAATTTATCAACTATAGCATATTATGTAACATAGACATAGTATATAGAAATACTGCATATTAAGATATATGCAGTAGATTTTTAAATATAGCATACTTTTTTAAAAAATGATAAAACAAAAGCTTAAAAATGCTTAAAATGAATAGGATTAAAGAACTGGAAAATCTGTTTTAATCAGATGATGAAATACGTATACGTTGTTTTCTTTTTAAGTTATTTTCAGTTTAAAAAAGTATACAAATTTAGATCAGTATAAAGAAACTAATGTATTGAGATTAGATGCTAAGGCTTTAGTACTTACCCACAAGTTAAAGCAATTAAGGGACTGAAGGTGTGACTCAAGTGGTAGAGCAACTGCCTCGCAAGCATGAGGCCCTGAGTTCAAACCCCGATACTGCCAAAAAGAAAAAAGAGAGCAGAATAGGTACATATTCCAAGTGATTGAGGTGTAAGCTGTATATGCTATCAGGGTTAATGAAGAGAAAGTTTCATTTGTTTATTAATTTATTTGTTAAATACTTTTTTGTGTGTCAGGCAGTGTGCTAAGATTTCTAGACACAAATCAGAGACCCTGCATTAAGAAACACATAGTTTAA